TAACCTAAGTGCTAAGAATTGAAGTATCAAACCACTTAAGGTCCTAACGGAAAAGAAATAATCAACGAAGCTGTCAGAAATGGGTGGCGTTTCAGCTTCAAGGGACAGAGCATTCCAGTGACTTGACTGATCAATCACCAAATCCTACGAGTTACTTTGGAATGATGGTGAGTTGTGATTTCACATCGGACGAGGTTATCTTTCTTAGCCCGGAACTCGCTACAGCCGCTTGAGAGATAATAATAATAATATAATACTAAGAAAATCCGTCAAACATTGCGCTCTCTAAACGCAAACAAACCACCCGGTCCGGACGGTATCCCACCCATCGTCCTTAAGATGTGTGCTCCCAANAGTCTTTACCTCCAACTTTTTTCCTTTCCGACCCCCTGGAAACGCCGATTTTTCCCATTCACAAATGCGGCGACCTTTCTAACCCCAACAATTACCGACCCATTTCTCTCACACTTGTTCTTTCGAAAGTATGTGAAACGATCACTTCTGACCAGCTACGCACGTGCCCTGAACGCGAAGGACTACTGAGCGACCGCTAGTATGGCTTTCGACCGCGTCGTTCCACCGGTTACCTGGCTCTTGTCTCACAATCCTGGCCAGCTCCACTCGATAACTACGGGGAAACACACTTGGTTTCGCTTGACATCTCAAAGGCCTTCGATTGAGTTTGGCACGAAGGTCTAATGGCGAAAGTACCCATGCTCGGGTTCCCTCCGGCGCTCGTAGCGTGGATATCAAGTTTCCTCAGTAAGCGAACCATCTCCGTCCGAGTTGATGGGGTTCTATCTCAGCCATTCCCTGTGAACGCTGGTTCCCCAAGGTTCAGTACTTGCGTTCACCCTCTTCCTTCTATTTATCAATGATCTACTTTCCCAAACTACTAACTCGATCCATTCTTTTGCTGATGACGACACCCTCCACTGCTCCCTCTCCTGCCGCACTGCTCGCCATGCCCAAAACAACATCGATGGTGACCGTAGTGCAGTTTATGTGTCACTGGACTCTGATCTTGAACATATCTCCTCCTGGGGAATTGCAAACCACGTTTCGCTCAGTAGTTCCAAAACTTCTCTCCCTTCAATATCTTTAAAACGCAATTCATTCTCCCATTTATCTTTTGATTCCACCCAACTGCGTTCCACAGACTCTGTTTCCCTTCTTAGATTGCTCATAACTTCTTTATGCTGGTCACCTTTTATAACCAAGCTTGCTTCTCGTGCTGCGCGCAAGGTTGGATTTCTATATCGCGTCACCCCAGCTCATCTTCTATTGTGCAAAGCTCAAATCCGCCCTGCTCTTGAATACTGTAGTCACGTGGGTGGGACTTCGTCCTCTTCCCTTTCCCTTCTTGATCGTGTTTAACGAAAGGCCATCCGGCCAATCGATGATCCTTCCCAGACATCGAGTCTACAGTAGCTAGCCCATCGTCGGGCAGTTGCTTCATTGTCAGTGTTCTACCGCTACTACT